ATTTGCACATGATCTTCATTTTAAGTTCCCAACATGCTCAGATACTGATCAAAGAGCTATTAGGTCTACAGGGTTTGGTGATGACCCCTGGTATTCAATTCCAAATTTGCTATTGATTCACTCTCTAAAGGATGGGTAATGGATAATCAGTATAATGCTCCTCGCAATGGTTACTTCTTCCCCATGCATTTACATTCTCTTCCACTTCATTATTGTTGTTTGGAGGAGGAATAAATCACACAGAAATCTTTACTTCTGCCTACAAGATCCTCAGATAGATGGTGGAGGGTGGTTTGTGCATGACTGTTCAAAGAGGAGGAGGAGAGAGTCCTTCTCAACGCTTTCTGGGCCAGTTCCAAGCACAGCTGTACAACAGCTTCTTACTCTTCTCTTCCCTTTCACTAGCCCCAGGCACTGACTTTCCAACATGAGCATGAAAGGAGCAAGGAAGAGGCCGGGACCCTGTCTGAGATGAAGGAGCTCGTCTCTGCCAGGGAGGCACGAGCTGCAGGATGTGTTTTCGTAGAGACAACCTTTCGTAGAGGCACCTTCCTGCCTTTTCCTCGTATGCAATGAAAGAATTTTCTTTGACACAACTGAGGTGTCTGCAGTGTGGACAGTTTCCAACTGACCCACTTGCTGATACTCACTTAACAGTCAATGTAAAGAAATAAGATTTCCTATTGCACCATTCTTCTCATCCTAAAATATATGCTTAGATGTTATCAGTTATATTGGGCTTTACCACCAGCTATTTCCTCCCAATGATTATAGAAGTTCTTAGGGTAAGCAGCTCAGATGAAAACCTCTATCTGAAGTTAGGAGAAATGAATCCTGCCTCGCAAAGCTCCAAGCTCTCCTCAGCAAGCTGCAGACAGATGCTGCCCCAGCGAAGCCAGCTCCTCCTAGGGAAATCCAGGTCTCTGGATTAGCAGACACAGCATTTCAGCAATGCAAAATTACTCTTTCGTTTCTAAGTACCAGCTACCTTGCTTACAAAATGTTCTAGCATACTCTTGATCATAATTCAGTCTGTTACATTACCATAGCACACCTGCACCTCAGGTGTTTTAGAAATCTACTGTGCTGGGCGCTGCATAAACTCACAACAGCAGGTCAATCCCTGTGCCAAGTTGTCGCTAGCCTAAGGAGGCGAAAACAGATGAGAAATTAGGCAGAATGATGCGGGAACATACATGTGGCTACATGTATGTACAGACACATACAGGCAACATGATCCAGCAGAGCAGGCAGCTGTCTTAGCACACGACCAACCCGGCTGTTGCTCAGCTCTTGGGCAGCATCATGGCAAAGAAAGGTAAAAGACTGAAAGGCTGTTTTGCAGAAATCTACCGAGGGCTTTAGGAACAAAAAAATAAAAGTGTGGATGGATTAATCTGAACACTGAGCATATGGATAATATAACCTAATACTAGAAGCTGAGAGGATGGGAGAATCATTATCTGTGCACCGTGGACTGAGGAAACTGGCAAAGATCTTAAAGATGAAGAGAACTAACCTGTATTTGATGCAAACGAAAAAAGGAAATTGAACCATAGATTCATTCCTTCTCTATTTTTGTGAAGATCTCTTCAGTATCATAACAGATTTTTTGCATTATGCATCTGAAAATAGGATGCAGCACTGTAGCAATAATTTAAAACACAAATATAGCGTGCTTACATATGTTATTAATATATACAGTTCATTAAAATGACTATAGATTACTAATTCTACAAAGATGATAATTCTAATCAGAATGTCCGTACTCAAGCCACGTATGTGACCTTGACCGAATGTGGAAGGCTCACTTCAAACTACGGTCAAGTAATACATATGATATATGGCTTTTTCCTACATCTTTAGAAGTAGAAAACTTGCAGAATTTGTATATTTCTGTTTTTCCTTTAATGGTATTCAGTGCGTTTTCCCTCCACGATTTAGTCCACATATACACAGCAGTTTAGAAATACACTTTTTTATCTAAGGAAAACATATATTAAAAATTGTAAAGCCCTCAGGCATTATAATTATCCTATTCAACAAAAAATATTTAGATGTAAGCAGAGGATAAAGCAGTTAATAAGCAAGCTAAATTATCTGCACAAACACGCAGAGCAGCCCTCCTCAGGTGCAATCTGAGGCTGAAGCAATTAACTACAAAACCTACTTAGCTCCAACCTGAAGTTGGCCTAAATTATCAGTGTTTTTTCAGTCTTGCACTTTTTTCTTTTTTTACACCAATTATATAAAAATTCTTCCTTCAGAAGAACAAAATAAAATGGCTTTCCACACCATGAATAATCTATTTCTATTAGAAATGTTAACTGCTTCCAGTCCATGAGTAACCCATATCCCTTAGAAGTATACACAATTAATTAAGGAAGGTAACAAATGGGGAGGAAATAATACAATGGAAGTACTCATCCCGTTGGGGTGTGCACAGGGACTTGATGCACTACCAACAGGGCAGACCGGTTCTTCACTGCTGCCCGCTATGGGCAGAGCTGAGCGCAGCTTTCTGCGTTCTGTTGCCCTTGACTAGTAGTGACCTTTTTCTCAATGCACATAAGTGCTAAAAACAAAGATAAGAATTATTATGTTATTCCTTATGCAATAGCTAGATGCTCGAGTTTATATAAGAATGGCATTACTAAAGTTCCATAGCCAATCTGTGAGGGTATTTGAAATGGGAGAGCATCTGCTTCATTAAGGTTATCAGATCAAGGACTTTTAAGTTCAAAGCAAATCCTAAGCAACAGAGAAAGTAGTAAAAAACCCACAGAAACACAAACCTGACAAGCAAGCTGTAGCCTGTCACTAAGTAGCGAGTCATTAAGAAACTACAGGCATAGCTTTGGAGACGGGTAATCTGGATTTTTTAAGTGATAAGGAGGAGGAAACCAGATGAACGTGAGGTTTATGGATACTTCAGGAGAGCCTTTGGGACTGCACAACCTCCTTAGGAATGCTCAGGGGAGAGACGGGAGGTCGATGGGTGACTAGCAGGTAAACACCACGCAGGAGCGGCTGGCAAGCAGAGACCCAGGGTGCAGGTTTTACAGGTATTTGCAGGTATTTCACAGGCTGAGAGCCCCTGCCATGAGAGTGATCTGCAAACGTGGGCATGCTCTCGGCCTGCATAGTTCTGGCATGTTTGTTTTCACTAACAAACTTTGATCCCAATCAGCTGGAGAGGAAGGATGGGACCTACCTATCTGCACTTATGTTTTATGTTGGTTCTGGTGGTGCTATATGTGAATACTGTTAAAGGCAGCGCGCGGTGTGGCTGCCCTTGTGCAGTGTCCTCTCTGTGTGTGCCTCCCTGGGACACCCATTCAGCCCTACTGCTGCGGAAGCTGCGAGCAGGAAGCAGCAGCTGTGGTCGTTCACCTGGGGCAGAGGGATCTCCAGGTCTCCAGACGCATCGGGCTGGGCCCCAGCAGCTGAGGAGAAAGCCCTGGGTCCTGGAGTCTGCAGCTTTATAGCGGCCCTTAACAAAATCACTCACGAATAAGGAACTGCAGTTGTTTGTACCATCTTAATTTTGCCTGTTTTGTTCTTATATTTTATGCTAATGTCTTTAATTACATGATCTAATTTATTTTTTCACATTCACGGCACAGGATGGATGGTGCTTACCTAATGAGCTGCTACACAGTCTTTTTGTGTGGTTGCTAAGCCTCATTTACTGCACAACATTCAAACCCCAGTCTGAGGCTGACGTGATTAATTCCCGCAGCGGCTCTCGCTGCCTCGCACGCGGCAGCAGCATCTTCTCCATCCTGCAGGAACGGGACGGACAGCGCCGCAGCGCAGAGCCACGGCTGCAACTGGTGCCTCCACACCAGCAAGTCTCAAACATTAAAACACTATTAGTTCCCTCCTCACACAGCCTGGTTTCAGTCATTTTCCTATCAGATACAAACCTGGCTGAGGTTCTCCAGGCTGCACGCGGCTGCCCCGGGCATGGGCCCATTCTTCCCGGAGCTGCAAAATCTGGCCACCTTTTACTTTCTTCAGCTTAAGAAGAGAGATGCATGGCTGTATTTCTGTTATCTATACTTGAGCATCACTATAAACAATGCCTTGCAATAAGTAGTATTATGCAATGTAATAAAAAAATAGATTAAAATAAGCAAATAACTTGCAGTACTTAGTACTTATCCATAGTATCTCTGCAAGCAGATGCTAGAAGAGATAAATATATTGGTCTTATGCTACTAGGAAGGAAACTAAGACAGTAACATAAGAAGTGGTTTGTTCTGTATCATCTACCTTATGAAAGACTCAGCTGAGATAAGAACACCTCCCTTATAAAGTCTTTTTTCTTAAAAAACTTTCAAACATGTTATAACTGTGTATATTATTTATTGTACCATCTATAAATGAATAAATTTAGGCACAGAAGGATTGTGAGAGAACTCGATCCCATAATTCTGCAGTAAGTGAAGTCCACTAGACCTCCAGTGTCAGAACCAGCCCACTTTTTCTAAAAATCTCAACATATACTTGGGGAATTTAAATGCACAGTACTATGGAATAGTTCTGAAAATGCAATCAAATTTCCCATATCATCCCAAAGAGTATCTACATGACCCAGATGTAGAAATTTATCTATTTCCATAATTTAGCAGTTAATTTAGCAAAAATACAATCCTCAGATGTATCTTTGCCTCAGTTTAAATATTAAAAATATCTGTTTACAAACAAAAATGTATACAACAAGAAAAGTCAAGAAATAAAACTTCAAGAAACTATTAACATATAAACATATACATTAAATAAACTTCCTGAAATACTTTTAATATATATTGAAGGCTGATGCCTTTACCCTAAAGGGAAACAAATACACCGACCAACTACAGACTCAGGCCATGCAACGTATGAATGTTCTTGACCAACCAAGCACAGAAATCCCATATGGCTCTATCCCATTTATTGTCTTGTGTAGTTAGTAACACTGAAAAACAATTAATTTACCTGCATGTGAGGAATGCATACTGACACTGCTCTTCCTGAGCAACTGCTACTTGGATAAGAGTTTGTATTTTACATTTAACCTTGCACACATGGACACAGGCCATTTATTTCCTGTTCTGCACAGGAAGGATATCTGTAATCCAGTAGTGAAACAGAGAAGAGACTATCTTGATATGATCTGCAATAAAGAAAACAAATTCTTCCTGAAATATCTCCATGACGTTTCTGAACATAAAAGAAAAACAGTTGTGTAAACATTTGTTTCCATTTGATAGAAGCATTACAGTAAAAACAAAACAGACACTGGAGATTCATGACTAATACATATTAATTCTGAGATAAACGGGCACACGTTTTGCAGGCCAGCTCTTTGTAGGAGATCCACTGTTGGTCCTATATTGTGAAATGTCCTAATATATTACTCAATAATTCAGAAAAGAGAAGATTGAAATGACACAGGCATGTAGATAAGGCTAAAAGACTGTGATCTTCTCCATTTTTTTTTCTGTCTGGAGAGAGATTTCAGCCATTACTATTAATATTATAGTAGCACCTAGAAGCCCCAGTTAAGAACAAATCCTTCTGTGCTATCACATACAGACAACCAAAAAAACCCCCCAAATGCCACAGCTTTTGCCTTAAACCAGAGATTATCTATTTACCCTTATTTTTAATGATATGACATTTAATGTGATTCCAGAATGCTGTTCTAATAGAGCTTTCCCCTTTCATTCTCTTTGAAATCTCATTCAAAACAACTGTTAATTTCTATCATTTTAGGGTCCCCGGGCCTCCAGCCTGGGAAGTGTTGACATGAGGTAACTGTGTTACTTCTTATGGTCTGCAAAATAGACTCTCCACATGAAGGAGATATAAATGAATAAATTTATTTCTAAAAAGGACAATACTGAAAAAAAGCCTGTTAAAAGTAGCTTCTAGCTCTTCTGTGAGTGATAATTTCCTAGGCAACAGGAGAAGAGTGTTATTTCATACGTGAGACTCACCAACAAAGGCAAAATGTTACTAGATAAAAGAATGAAGCTTATGAGGAGAAACGGAATGAATTCAAACATTTGGAGATAATGACTTTTTTCTTTTTAATTAGGGGGATCACCTATGCTTTAACAAATGATGTGAAATGAGAATTAAGTAGTCCTCGTTTCAAAAGCTAGTTTCCAAACAAAGAATGGGACTTCCTACTGTGAAATCGTGAAGGAGTTCCAGAAATAGCCCCCTGATTTCTGACAGAGGTCAATGAAACTCCCACCACTAGAACTGCGTGTCCATTTGATTCTAAACTGTCTCTTCCCTGGATTTATGGAAGATGTTAGGTGGAGGTAAATATCTGTCATACAAGAATTCAAAGCAAATGGAAACAGTAATATGAACTTTGTTCTCTTTCATCTCGTTAGATCCTATGCAGTCTCCAGTTATGAGACAGACAGCAACAAGCAACAAGTCAACTGGCATCTCTTAACAACAGAGATTCTTTCTCTCCTTTACTCTTTTTGAATATGCTTTCTCAGTATATAAGAAGGACTAATGATAATATCTTATAGTTGACAAATTTCTGTTTTGTTCTCCTTACCAGTTTCCTCTTTCTGCCAATCTTCTACAGACCCTGCCACCAAACTTCTTATAACTTTCTTTGCAACTGCTTCGTAACTCTGACGTACATTGTGCCTCATGAATACCCTACCAACTCAATGACAGGACGTATGAGATTAGAATTGAGCCCTCAAAACACAAGCCAAAAATAAAGGTCACTAGCAGAAAAATTAGCCCCAAGAGTAAACAATTCCAGGCTGCTTCTGTTTCAGCAGAAACATCAAATCAATTTTAATAATAAAAAAATCACTCATAAAGCTCTTTTCTGCTTTTTGAAGTGACATATTAGCAAATCTGGCTATTTGCATGGATTTGTTTCTAATCTGCTTCGAATTTTCTTTTCCCTCTTCAACTTGTTATTTCCGCTAAATAGAAGTAAACACAGAAGCTTATCCAAAGGCTACAAAACCTACAGAATTTCTACTGTGTTCAGTGTGTTTGGATAATGTGAGTCATTACTTTATAAAAGACGCAGAAAACTACATAAAATTGTTGAGATTCTCTTGCTGTGCTCTCAAATCTAATTAATTCTCTGGGAAGTAAGAATATTTAGCACATTTTGTAGATTTGGCCCATGCTGACAAATGAACTAATGACAAGTAACAATGATGTTTTAAATGATGACTGCTCAGAAAAAAAAAAAAAAAGCCTTATTATATCTTCTATGGAACCCATACTGATCCTGCCCGCATTTGAGGAAGAAGTAATAGTCCAAGAAGGAATTAAAATTACTGTGTCACAAGGAAGTAGTAAGAGAACAATTTCTTTTTCCATAAACAACATTACTATTATTTTATTCTTTATAATCAGTAACTCTTCTTAAATTTTTTTTAGCAATTTTAAACTGGCATTTATAGTTGAAGAAAACTGCAATTAAATATTAGCATGTGAAATTTAGGTGTTAAAGAATCCAAGTAGGTGATTAAATAGGAATGAAATAATGGGATTTATTGATGCTTATGCATTTAAAATTAAACCTAAACTGAATAAGTGAAATCTCAAAAACTTACAGCTTCATTAATGATGACCGATTAAAATTTTAAAAAAATCTAGAGTTCTAGAGAAATTTCTTGAGAAAAAAGAGAAAATTAAAATAAACTTGTTTGATTTAAAGAAACATTGTGTTTTAAGAATCTCAGTGAACTCTGCAGCTGCTGAAGAGTATGAAAAGTTTCTGTATTGGTAGTAAGAAAAAAGGGAAAAAAAGGAACAAATTATTGTTTTCTATGGAGACATATACTTTCAAATTCTGTATAATCATGCTTTTACTACCATATAACTATTGACAGCTTCCCACCCCCACTATACAAAAAACTGTGACAAATCTGAATTTTAATCAACACAGAAGAGAATATCAGTGAAAGATATGAGTGAAGGGTACATACCAGGAGGCATCAGGGAATGTTCCTGGAATTCTTGCAAAGCATTCCTCAACCTTGCAATATCCTGTAGCAATACAAGGGATTTCAGTTGATGCAGAAGAGTCACATCTGAGGAAGCCATGGTGCGAGATTCAAGATACTGTAAAAACTCTTGGACAGCTGCTGAATTTACAGCTGGATCTTTGCATTCCGATTTATCTGGACAAACAATTGTAAGACTAGATTAAAAATACTGAATGGGCACGCAGAATTTTCCTATTGATACTGACTTTTCAAAGACAGTATCTTTTTCCTTTTTTAAACTACAACTTATAAATAAATACCAGATACTAAAGGGCAGCCTGTTCTTCCCATTTGCTGCCAGATGTTAAAAAAACTGAAAAGAGGGGAAAACATCAAATACAGAAAGTATAAAGGGCAATGCAACAGAAAGACAGTAAGAGATCTAAGTCTGGAAGATTAGTGCATGAATAAGGTGTGATGAAGAATCTGTATTGTAGGCTAAGCGCTGTATCTTTGTCTCCTATATACTATTTATTATAAAAATGCATACACACATGGAGACAGAGAATAACTATAGGGAAATAACACGAAACATTTGAGGCAGTTAATTATCTTGCTATTGCACTTTTAGGTTTTTAAAACTGTGTATTAGAATATGCAATACAGCAGGAAAGGACACACTAGTGTTTTTATTGTGCTAATGTACAGATTCATTCTTCCTTTCTAGTAATAATGTCTGTCCCTTTAACCAGACTACCTTTAGAGTTGTATTTTTCTGCTTTTTATTATTAGCAAACCAAATGGTAAGAACAGATTATTTCCAACTCAGCTTTCTTACATACGTACGAGAAGTACATAAGCACAAAACTCAGGGTGACTATTTGCGAATGTTATTAAAACAAGGGCTTCCAATTTTATCTAATAAATGAGCATTGCTAAAATCACTCGCCTAGACAGGGCGAACAGCGTAACGTCAGATTTATGTACGTGGAGCAGGATTTGCCTGGCAAGAAAGCTAGTCACACTCTGATTTACGGATGCGACATCCCATGTGCAGATGAATTTGCTTTGACCAGGGGATTCATCTCTGTGGATGGCACGGTCCTCATTAGCTCGACCTGTGGAGCTGCAGGTTTGGCAGCAGGCCCTGCCTCATCCCCACGGCGCCAGCAGGGAGGGCGGGCGGCTCAGTGAGCCCGCGGTGCTGCTCTGCCTCCCGCATCAACGGCAGGGCCCTGCACGAGCTTCACAGTTTTACACGGTTGCTCTGGAATTACACTAACACAAATGCACGTCATTTAGTTTACACTTACTTTGGCACACACTGAAATTGTAATATTCTTGTTTTTGGTGAGGAAAATACTTCAGCTCCTAAAGGAAGATGACTCCTGGATGCTAGGTTTAGTGTGAAAACCTGACACAGCAGAATACTTTAACAGTAAGTAAAGACAATTTTATCTATAAATCTTGAGAAAAATTAACATGAAAAGCCTGATATTACCTTAACAGGGTTCTTAAAGTCATGTGGTAGTCTAAAGATAAATTTTACAGGACAAGGCCTGACAGTTTTGAATTAAGATGAACAAGTAGGTAAGTTATTTAGTATTTTCCTTTCAGCTCCACAAAGGCAGCCAAGGCTATGTATTCTGAAAGGTTTTCACTGCTTCCCCCCTCCCCCATTTGTACATGCTAATTATAATTTTAAGGCTATGTTCTGAGCAATTAAAGAAAACACTACTTTGCCCTTAAGAAAACGTACTTAATTCTAGATGATATGAATATAATGTTGTATATGTACAGATAATGACTATACTTATCATTAAAACATCATTATCTTTGAATGACATTATGACATTAGCACCATAAGAACAGTTTTCTAGGAAGGCAATGGAAGAAATATATTTAACTACAATAACAGCATTTTATCTGATCTTAGGGGCAAGAATAAGAATTTAGTAGGCCATTATGGATAACATCCCTGTAATCCTTTTTTTAAGTGCCACAGGATGTGCAATGAACAACAGTTCTCATTAGTCTCGTCCACAAGCTCTTTATGCCATGACACTTTCCCAGTGTCAATAGCTTCATATCATTCCTTTTAGATGCTATCTAGATTACCTTAGACATCATAAATAAATCCTAGAGATGACAGATTTTTCTGAAATGTATTTTAATTTTTTTGAAAAGTAGGTTGGTTCAGAAAAGGAAGCAAATAATCCTTCTGGATGTTTGCTGTAGGACAAGCAAAAGCACTTTAAGCACTATATTTACCCAAAGTGCACTGGAGGATTTTAAAAATGAGAAAGCAATATTATCTATATTTTCAAAGAAGGATGAACAAAGAGATTAGGATCATACTTTTTTATGCTGATACATATTATTACTCCTAAAAACAGAAGTAATGCTAAACACCCATTCCCATACCAAGTTCAATAGACATTTTCCAAATAAGTTCGATCTATTATAAAGAAATAATAAGAATACATTCATTTTGTTCAAAGCTGTCTTGCTCATGAAAAGAAAGGAGAGAGTGGTACATACTGTCAGCAAAATAAATTTGCTGTGTTGCCTGTAAGAAGTCTAGAACTCCATGTGCCTTTTCATCTATGTCCTTACGGTCTGCTCTTTCTTCACTGCTGTTTTTATCCGGCTGGTATGTAAAATCTACACCAGTAGTCTTTGTTAGCAAGCCAGCTGCTCTCATTTTTTCCTTTTGTCGCTTTTTTTTCATTTTCCTTTTTTTGTTTTTGCTTATTTTGGGGCTGTCTATCTGCTGCAGCTGTAAATTCTCTTGCACAAGAGTCTTTTGAATTCCAGATTCTGTTTGCTCTCCATGTAAATTGTTAGGGTTTTGCAAATTGCTCTTTTGTTTCTTCCTTCGAACGCGCTTTCTCTTAGTTTGTCCTTGATACTCCTCCTCTGCAGATTCAAAAGAGACACAATAGTTGTAAATAAGAAGATCTGTAATAAGCATTTTGGAGCTGCATACAATGAAATATTACTCCTTTCAAATTCTTGGATGTCTGAGTGCCTCTAAACTTCTGTGCTTAAAATGCCTTTCAGTACTACAGTGTCAAAGCAAATTCTCCTGAAAGCACCAAGCAGACAAGCTCTTTTCCCTCCTGTTCTCAATAAGAGTGTATTATTCCACAAGCTAGTTACTTTACATCATTTACCTTCTTAGCACAATACCAGCACAACTCAGAGTGAGGTCAAAAGAATTCCCAGGGCAAAAAACGTGGGCAGAGCTACCCAGGCTGAGACATGGCATGAGGGAGAGCTCCCAAGAGGCCCACAATACCAGGTGCTAGACTTGACCAAGCACACAAGAAAACACCATATAACTTGTAATAAAACCCTGGCACGTCCTGCCACAACAGCAGTGTGCCTTAACAACACCAGGCATCTGTTCCTGCTTTGTCTCCTTTCCCCTTTGCAAACACCACCTTCCTCTGGGACCTCTTCCTGCTAGCTCAGCTTTGGACATAACTTTACGGGGAAAGCATCCCTGGCATCGTCATCCCCGGCTAGTGATCTCTGATCTTTCGAACCACCTGACTTAGCTCTGCCTTTCCAGTGCTACTTTATAACTCCCTTACCAGTTAATCCTTCCAAAGGCTCAAATGGCAACGGAGAGAAGTCACTCTCCGAGTTTCTGAGCCAGTTCTCGGGCTTCTTTATTCAGATTCGCTGTATGTAAAGGCAGAATTCTTCAGTCATCCCTAACCCTGAACCAGCCTCCTCTCCCCCACACAGGCACTTCTCAGTGCAGGGCTTCCTGTCACCAGCAAGGGAAGACTGCCAAACCCATCTTCACTTCAACTGCACTGCTGCCGAAATCCCTATTTATGCCTATAATAATTTCCTGTCCAATTAACTGAAATTCCCTCCTTTATGGTCTAACAAAATCCTCACACATTTAAATATCACAGAGCCCAGAGCTGTTCTAATGTCTTGCTTTAGAAAGCAAATCCATTTAACCTTTCCCCAACCTTCGCCTGCATGTTTCTAAATTCCTCTCTACGCACTGAGCCTGATTCTCTCATTTACCTGGCTTTAGCCTACTCTCCTTAAGTCAAGGAGTCTTCTTTAGTCCAACACTGAAATAATCCAGCAGGGGCACCTGAAGCTTCCAAATGATCTGCAAATTCTCCCAAACTACCTCTGACATTTTCAACTTGTTTGGCTTTTTCATCACTCCTCCCCCTACCAGTCCTTGCCTCTATCTTCTGCAAGTTGCAGGCCCTCAGTTTCATTTCTGAATCTTTTTCTGTCTTGAACTCTGTCAGCTCTGAGCCACTTTCTCTCCTTAAATATCACAAGAAGACTTTTAGTTCTTTAGCTGACAGATGACTCACTGCAAAGCAATTTTCCATATTTTCTAGGAAGGAGACTATATAAAAATAAGTTTGCTGCATTGTAATTGAACACCACAGCATGCTGAAGATGCACCAAACAGCACCTTGTACCCACATTATGGAGCGTTTCACATGGATGGCATTTGAGCTAAACATCTTTATATACATTTTAGACATATGGGATGTAGGAAAAATAACGTCTGTGTAGTCATGCAGGAGTAAAATATCAGAGCCGAAGGCAGATATGAATGGTGAAAGATAACATAAACAAAGCATCAATGTTTCATCTTCAGATCTAACTTGGATTTTCATGGCAGTATTTGTGTTATAATTGATGATTTCTGCTTTGACACAGATACATTGCTCCCCAGAAGCCCTCAGAGACCACTTAGATGAGCTGTTGCTAACAGAGCTAATCTCATTTGTGCAGACAGCAAAGGGGCCCAACAGGGTCTCTAAGCAATCACGAGCCACTAAAGTGCAGCAATACTCGGGCATGCTGCGTGGCCAAGCATCTGCCACAGGTGTGAAGCAACTTCAAAAAAGGCTGTAGAAGGGAGAACAGGTCTCCAGATAGTGAGTTTTGAGTCGAGTCCAAAAGTTTCCTTATCCTTTGCAGCTCAGGTCAGCAGAAGGTGTGAAGAGAGCGGGGTAAAGCTGTCAAAAGACAGAATGAATGCAGGCTTCTCACATGAATTTTATTGAGAGAATTATATGATAGAGGAGAAATCAGAACTGCGCTGAGCTTCCTCCAACACAGAAAACAAATGAAACCCAAGAGCTATCTTCAGAAGTAAACTTACAGCCCTTTAGTAGTTTTTGTTATTCTTTCCCCAATATTTTATTATCTGTTTAGTAAGACTAAAATTCTGCCTTTATTATTCAAGAGTTCTCCCTGTTGGTCAGCAAATATCAGCCTTCAATATTGTGCCTCACCTAGGAATAATTTGACATGAAGGAACGGATGAAGTTAAACAGTGACATATGCAAAGCAACGCACACATTAGGGATTAATCTGCACAATGCATTGCTAGAGCTGGTCAGAACAAACTGCTATCAATTCAGGAAAAGCAAAACAAAAACCAGACCTGGATCTCAGTACAGAAAGTTCAGTGAAAACATTTGCTCACTGGGCATCAGTGAATAGCAAGCAGCTTGTTCAGCGAAATAAGAAACAGGATGGAATATAATAGAGCAATACTACAAAGCTATTCCCTATTCCATACATCTGTGGCACTCCTCAGGCTTGCAACATCAAATTTCTTAGCACAATTCCGGCACTATAAGACTTTGGTAGAGAAGAACAAGATTCTCACAGAAGTTACCACAGAAAAAAAAACTCCAAAAAGATTAGAATTATTTGACTTGAAATAAGGGTTAATAATGTGGACTCCTCTTTCCTCATACAAGAATAAGAAAACATCTAATTAATTTCAGCAGTTGCAAACCAAACATTGAACAACGTAAACACCTGCTTTCCAAATAGCTCCATTAACTTACTGAATTCCCATTCATGAGATAATCACTGAATCCAAGAGCTCAGTGGAATTCAAGACTGTATGCCCTCACAGACACCAAGGCTAACCAACAGCTATGCTAAAATATAAACAAAAGTTGTAGAAGAAATATAAGGCATAATGTTCAAGCCATAACCCACACAGTAAACTTACAAATGAAAGATCGAGAGGGGTGATCTTGCCTCTCTACTCAGCTCTGGTGAGGCCGCACCTGGAGTACTGGGTGCAGTTCTGGGCTCCCCAGTACATGAAGGACACGGAGCTTCTAGAGAGGGTGCAGCGGAGAGCCACGAAGATGACTGGAGCATTTGTCATATGAGGAAAGACTAAGCAAGCTGGGCCTGTTTAGTCTGGAGAAAAGAAAGCTGAGAGGAGATTTGATCAACATGTTCAAGTACCTGAGGGGTGAATGTAGGGAGGATGGGGCCAAACTCTTCTCCGTGGTGGCCAGTGACAGGACAAGGGGTAATGGGTGCAAGTTGAAACACTGGAAGTTCCACCTCCACACGAGAAGAACTTCTTCACTGTGAGGGTGACAGAGCCCTGGAAGGGGTTGCCCAGAGAGGTTGTGGAGTCTCCTTCTCTGGAGATCTTCCAAACCCGCCTGGATGCCACCCTGTGCTACGTGCTCTGGGTGTCCCTGCTGGAGCAGTGGGGTTGCACTAGATGATCCCTTCCAACCTCAACCATTCTGTGATTCTGTTAAATCGCAGAGGGCATCACCTCATAGTAACTAGCTGTTCGAACACTAAGTACCTAGTGCATGCTTAGACCTTTGCCCTCTCTGATAAACCAAGAGGGCGCATCCTCTTCATAAGTGACTCACACACCTCGTTCTAAATCAGGTGAGAAGAAGCTGTACCCTGAAGGTGTCCATTTCTTCCTCTCTCCCTCCATTAACTATAGAAGAGATGTGTGATGATTAAATTTGACTGTATGCTTCTAACAACTGGAAAGAATTAGTCTCTTCCACAAAAATTATCTTAATGATATGGAAGAAGGTACTTCTTAATTATGAGCACATCAAAACAATTTTTACTGATTAACAAAACTCCACAGATCTCTATACAAAAATACTTTTGGCTGATTTACTACATTTCATACCAGCAGGGAGGCTTGATAAAGCTTCACTAGATGTGCATTTGGTTCTAATAATTTTTCTGACTGAAGAGATTTTTTATTTCAAAGAAGAAATAATCATAACAAATACAGGGAATGGATACATGAGCATTCTTAATAGCCTGTTTAATACATGCTTCAGTAACACTGACAGCAGCACCAGCTTTTGGACCCCACAACTGCAGGAACAGCTTGTCCTAATTCCACAGAGCTAATGGCTCTTTTTCTCCCTGTGTGCCGTAATGGCCTGTCACCCTTCTCTCCTAACACTCATCCCTGCACCACGAGTTCTCTAATTCATTACATAATTAGATTATCTAAAGCAACTGTATCTAACCTGTTTAGTCTGCATTTGGTACGCTCTGTCAGATCTGAAGAAAGGTTTCAAGAGAGAAAGCCCACATACATTTTCCAGACATGGTGATATTTTGACAAGTATTCTTTTAGCCTTAATAAGGACATCCTCCTAAGGAAATGCTCAGAGTTAAAAATAATCATTTCCTTTGGTGTTATTCTTTTTTTGGCAGGGTTATTTTTAACCGAGATTACTTCCTTGATCCAGTTCACCACGCAGCTGCACAGTCATACTAGTCTGACTGAGAGGATGATGTTGAAGTGGGAGTGAGCAGCCTGAAAAAGAAGGTTACTACCAAAAGAAAAAAGTAATCTAACAACTTACCTGGCCTGGTCCGAAACATTAACAAGTTTTCTCTGTGCAGACTGCACATCCCCTAACCAGAGCAGAGGCACAACTATGCCAAAAAAGGCCTTCAAATGCAATAGAAGATTTAGTTTATAAAAATAAAGCTTTGTTACAAAAAAAATGCATAGCTTTTATCTTCAAGGCAAAAAAATAATGATTTACACAGAGACTCTGTAGCCCTACATATTGATTTTATTAGCTGCTATCAGTAATATTATTCTA